AAAAAAAGAAGCAGAACTAAACTTGAAGGCCCGAGTATCACACAAGAGTCAGAAACTACAAAAGAAATTCACATGTCAAAATCACACAGAAAAAATAATAACATGAAAAACCGAAATAACATATCCTCACCAAATACCAGTAATCCTCTAGAGGAGCACAATGAGAATCCCCTAGAGACAATGCAGGACTTGGAACTCAAAAGAACAATGATGAATATGATAAAAGAATTCAGTGAATTTAAAGAACACACAAACAAGGTAATCATAGAGCTGAAGGAAGATAGGGATAAACTTCTGAATGAATTCAGAAAAGAGCTAGAAATATTGAAGAATACTCAGGCTGAAATAAAGAATGAAGTGAAACACTCCATAAGCCAATTAGAAATGACAAGAGAAAGCCTCAACAATAGGATGAATGAAATGGAAAACAGAGTATCAACTGGAAGATAAAGTGGATGAACTAGACAACTCAAGCAAAGATTATGAAAAAGTTAAGAAAGCACAAGAATGGAATATGCAGGAATTGTGTGACACCATAAAAAGACCAAACTTACAAATCATAGGTGTACAGGAAGGAGAAGAGTCCCAGGATAATGGCATGGATCACATCTTCAACAGAATCGTGGAAGAAAATTTCCCAAAATTAAAGAAAGACATGCCCATACAAATAGGAGAAGCACAAAGAACACCAAACAGACAGGACCAGAAAAGAAACTCTCCACGGCACATCATAGTAAAAACACTAAACGTACAGAACAAAGAGACAATACTGAAAGCTGCAAAAGAGAAACAACAAGTCACATATAAAGGAAAACCCATTAGGATTGCAGCTGACTTTTCAATGCAAACTATAAAAGGCAGAAGAGCATGGACAAAAGCATTCCCAGTTTTAAATGACCACAGATGCCAAGCCAGATTACTATACCCAGCCAAAATGTCTATTATAGTCAAAGGGGGAAAGAAAAATCTTCCATGACATAAATAGGCTGAAGGAATTCACGTCCACAAAACCAGCCCTTCAGAGAGTTCTGGAAGCAATACAAAGAGCTGAGGAAAGGAACGACTATACCCATACCCTATTATAATTTGGTCAGAGGGACATAAAGGACAGTTTTTGCTCCTTGCCCTCCTAGATCGACTAGTTCCAGAGGACTATGAGCATCTCTCAAAATGTCCTGTAATTGTGGTGGGTCACCTGTCCTCTTGATCAAGGAGGCCGAGGAGACCCCACCAAATGGACTTGAACCTTATATAACAGAGTATAAGGGCTTTAGTGGGGGGAGGGAGGCTATGGGAGGGTGCCATCTGGGAAATGGGTGTATAGTTGAATAAGATGGTTTGCGATGTTCTGTGCGATACACACACACACACACACACACACACACACAATCAACTTTTTTTAATGTTTTATATTTGAGGAGGAAGCATGGAAATTACATCATGTTAATTAGAAGAGATGATAAACAAATCTACCCAATGACTTCACAGACATGCACAGGCGCCAAGGATCCAAGTGCAACCGATTATGACTAGTAATAATCAGATACATACAGATTAGAGATGCATGTGCCAACATCTCAGTGTTAGTAGCAAAAACAATGAGTCTTTCTGCAAGGAACAATATATTCTACAATGAAATGGAGATCTTTTTTAAATGTTAAAAACTCATTTAATTTTATGTCTTATAGAGTCTATAATGAGTAAAAGATTGTACAAGCCTAATAATTCATCTGTAAACCTAAAAATATACAGCCAATTTTGAGAGATGTACCCTAGCTCAGAAAAATGTTATTGAATAGGTTAATGCTGTTGTAATGAAATGCTTCTTCTAATAAACAAACAAACAAACAAAAATTTCCAAAGTGGGGAAAACATCATTCTTTTACCTTAATGTGTTACCGATGATGG